ATTCTAGAGTTTGTAGCCCATTTTGAGAGCTATTGAAATCGCTATTTGGATGTCGATCATGAGCGGTCTTTCACGGAGAAAATCGAAAAACAAAAGGTGTCTTAAAATTTTGTCCGCCACTTTATGTTCTTTGATGATGAACAGAAGAAATCAATCATAAATGCCATAAATATTGTATGACGCGTCGCGTTGATGCATAATATGGACTGATCTTAATGATAAGTATATAAGTATCATTTCACATCATGTAGATATGAGTGCGGATTGTAGAAAATCAAAATGTATGTCTTTTTTTTTAGTATAGTTTTTGTTTTTGCTTGTTCAATATGATCACATCATAAGATGCAGCACATTCTATACTTTCATGCTGTATATTATGTTATGTTAAGAAATAAGCATATTATGATAATAATAACAAATAAACATAATGGAATATATTCAGTTATCTCCGATGTAGAAGCAAAGAATTTTGTTTATTTATTCAGTCGTTGAGAGTAACGAATAATATATATACAGTGATCTTCTACTATATAAACTTTCGATTAGATGTTAACGTTCGCTCATAAACATTGGCATAGAAAAAATAAATGGCCATCAAGAAAATAACATCTAATTCATTAATTCGATCAAATCCATTTATTTTTTTGTGTATAATCATAAAGGAGAGTATTCAAGAATAAGACATGACATGCCACAATTGGAGAACTCTAGTTGTTGGGATAGAAAGAAAAATATAATGAGTTCGTTGCTATAAAAAAAATGGAACGAGTGAGCATTTCTATTTCGGTCTGGTTTTTTTTATTATATAATGAACTTAATATAGTTGTTTAAAGAAGTATATCCATTCATTTTTATATACAGACTAACGTGCTTTTCTTTCACAATTACGAATATTAGGTTTTTCTTATTATTAATAAACTTCATTACTTCATGATTTGGTTTTTTAATTAATGGGTAGGTTCGATTTCATTGGAGAAAAACAATCAAGCGTCACATAAGATAAACAGACATTTTTCCTTCATTAATAATGCTATAAAGTTGTTTATATTATGGATACGTCAAAAAAGGTTGACTAAATAATGAAAAAGAATACTGTATAAAAATATGGAGAGAAAACGAGACAACATTATTTTGAATGATACTGGTGAAACCAAGAATGAGCTACGTCGGAGGGAGGGGGGGGGTCGTGCTATCACTGACTATCTTCGCTCTACCACCAGAAGAAAGAAAAACATAATAATTATCGCCATTGACACTGTATATTATGTATTTTGATCCAAGATAGTCGAGCACTGTCCTACCGATCACGATCTCCTGGTTATGCCACCATTACATAAACTAAATTATTGAACAAAAAAAGTTTGCTATATTGTTTTTCAATAGTGAAAACAAAAAATTAGTTGTGCCACGTCTAAAATATAATGATTTTATTTCCAGTTGGTTTCAGTCTTGATCGCATTTTATTTCCCGGTTCATAATTGGTGAACGACGAGAAAATATAGACACATTTAGTGAGCTAGAAAATTGCCCTTTCAAAAAAAAAAATGTCATTTTCAACATATACAAAAAAGAAGAGAAAGAGAACGAGTAGAGAAGAAACAATTTCTAAAAAGAATTATTTTTTGGTCTCTTTTTGTCTGCCATTCCGCTAGATGAGTACACATATATTAGTTTTTTTTAAAAGCAGAATATTTAATTTGACTTGATGAAGCAACGTCAAAACTCAAGATTGACAGTTTTATTTTCCAACAAGAGCAAATAAATTTTTTACGAGTAAAATATTATATTTCCTTAGCAGCTGCTTATTATATGTCATAAAGACGCTTCTAAAAATGAAAAATATATAAAATAATCGGAGTTGAAATATATATAAGTCGATTAATGAGATAAATTTTATTATATCTAATAATACGTTTCTTTTATTTCTCTCTCATCATCGAAATGATTAAAAAGAAAGTGAAAATTTTCCTTTTAAGTTCTTAATTTCGTTAAAACATTGTTTATATGAGAAAAGAATAATTCAAGTGAGTTATTAATATAATCGAGATTGTTTTCTTGATTTCGTTTGTTGATGATATTTTTCATATACATACAGTAGGAAAGAGAAGAAAATACTCGAAAGATTATTTTCTTGTTTATAGAAAGATGAATTATGATTAATCCAAAAATAAAACACAATCTGGTTTTAATCAGTCATATGCATGGCACGTTCTGCTAATTATCATTCTAAGAGATTTTTTCTCTTTTATATCAATTAGAAAAAACGTGCTTATGAAATATATTATTGTCTTTATATTTCTTTTTCTTCTTTTTTCTTTTCTTGTCACATTCCGAGCATATAGATGCCCAGTGAAAAATGTGGAACGTTCTAACACGTTCCAATTTTTGTTGGAACGCATTTTTTAAGAAAACAACACGTTCCAACAAAACTAGAACGTTTCTCAACATGTAATTTTCATTTCGGAACACGTTGTTTTCTTAAAAAACGTGTTCCAACAAAAATTAACATGTGTTGGAACGTTCCACATTTTTCACTGGGCAGTCGAGGATGAAGTTAGTTCATCATTCTGGTTTACTGAATTTCTATGAAATTCTCTTTTGTCTTGTATTTGAACCCAGGACATTATGTATCACTATCCTTAGATGATCCTTTGTATTTATAAAATAATATTTGGTAGTAAAAGAAATAAAACTTAGATTTATTTTCTTTGGCAGACAGAAATGAATACAACAATAATATCAATACCAATGGAAAACGATGATTTATTTAATAAATATATGCGTTACATTAGTTTTATTTTGTCATGTACAGGTCTTTTATTCAATTTTTTATTAATAATTATATTGTTTTTAATTGGTCGTCGTCAATGTGCAACATATTTTTTATTAATCTCAATGACAATATGTGATTTTCTATATTGTACAATTTATGTAAGTATTATATTAACAGTTGATCAATATATAAATATAATAAATCATCAAATAATATGTCCATTATCATTTTTTTTAACACCATTTACATTTACTGGATCAACTTTATTACTTTTTATTTGTCTTTTACATTTAATAACAAATTATGTACGTAAATATGATACTGTATTAGGCCAATTAGGTGGGCGTTTATCAGTTGTATTTGTTTTGGCATTTATTATTATTCGTAGTGTACTTGGTTCAACATCGATTGAGTTAGTTGTACCTAATCCAGATATACCTCATATACGATTCTGTATTATTGATATGAATACTCCTACAATCGTTGCAACAATACAAAAAATTAATCATATATTTGCTGAAGTAACTGATATACTTATTTATATTGGTTGGATTATTATTTTATTCATATATTTTATTAGTTTAGTTCATTTTAAAAAATTTTATTCTAATGATCGAACCAATGTTTCATTGTCAACAAATAAACCACACTTACATACATCATTATTAACGAATAATAATAATAATAATAGTATTAATAATGAACAAAATATTGTAACAATAAATATAGAATCTATTGATCTATTAAGTATAACAAATCCATCAACAGTAACAACAACAATAAGTAATAAACAAAGACATAATGATATATCATTAATAATTCTTTCAATTAGTTTGATTTCTGTTATACTATATCTACCAATTATGGTGAATAAATATGTGACAATGTATCATGTTTATCGTAATGAACTGTTATTAACAGAACAACATACATATTTTTTACAATTATTTCAACATACAACACATTTACTTTGTTTATCAATAAGATTTTTACCATATTTTATATTTGATAAACATATAAATTTGTTTATAAGTCATATGATTGGAATGAAATGCACGAAAATTCAAAGAGAAAGAAGTTTATCAAGAAAACAAAAATATAAATTAAAACATAAATATATTTGGCATTGCCAATGTTATCGACGACAACAAGTATTAGAATTTGATCATAATAATGACGGAACATAATCATTAATTTTTAAAAAAATTATTAAAAGCTGAGCTTTTTTTTGTATATTTCTGCTGCAAGAGAAACTTGAAATAAAACATGTCAAATAGTACAGCAGTTTTTGTGTATTCATTTCATCAAGTCAAAAACAAAAAAAAATTAATATTCAGACGAAGTATAATTTATTTGATTGATCGTATTGTCATAATAATCTACAAATATTTATCCAGACATAACACAATTTTATTTGCTTGTAGAAAAGCAACTACAAGTGTCATGATAAAATTCCATGACTAGAATTTCTCATTTCTATTAGGCAGACAGTTGTATTTGTTAGTCTTCATTTCTTAAAAGACTAGATTAATAAATTACAATGAAACATTTTTCTCTAAGAGTAATATGTACTAATTACTTTAAATAAAAAGAAATATTTCTCATAATTTAAATGAACTTTGATTTGTATATGTCATGATATAATTATAGTGATAGATAAACTAAAGAAGTAATGTGAATAACAATTAAACTAATTTTCTTATGATGATAAAGGATATTTCAAAGACAAAAGTCTTTTTAAATATTTATAATTATATACGAACATATGTCATGAAAAAAGAAGCATATTATCTGATGTTTTCACTTGTAGTTTGTTTTGCGAAGCTTCTATTTTGGATGAACATTGTGCATTTAAGTGTACGATTAATATTGATTATGCAAATGACAAATCCATTGCATTTGTTCACAGCAAAACAAATGACATATATTAATCTATTTTATCAATACAAATGAGTCCAATTCATCTGTTTTTTTTCTCAATTCTACCTCGATTGGTTTTTGTTTGTCTATCCATATGCAAATATTCATCATGTATTTATGACTTTTTCTGGTGTTATGGTTTACATACAAAATATTAATCGATTTCTAACAAAACGTTCTATCCATCAATACAAAAATAAAGAACAATTATAAGATGTATTCAAACATCAAGATTGTGTCTCCAATAACAGTCACGGATTTATTGCTAAAGATTTATCTAACGAGGGAATCTCCTTAGCTGTCTCCTTCCAATTTCAATAATTTTTCTTGCCTATAGATACTACATAAGGTTCTAATAAAAATTCTAAAAGGATTTGGGTTTTGATTAATCTATAGAATTTTTAATATATCTATTTTCTAAAGGCGCCAGACTTTTGGAAAATTCGTATTTTCGAATTTTAATCTGAAACTTTGTGCATATGGAGAACTCAACTAGACTAGCTTATATAAAAAAATATCAAAAGTTTCAAACAAAGTCTTTTCGAGATATGAGACGTTTAAGATGTAGATCCTTTTCCATGAATATTGTATACAACATGTATTTTTTGAAAGCTTTATATTTCGAAGAGGCTTTATTCAAAACTTGGCAATTTTTTTATGAAAACTAATCTAGTTGAGTTTTCTATATGCGCAAAGTTTTAGATCAAAATTCGAAAGTACAAGTAATGATTTTTTTTTTTTGTATCTACTGAGCACATTCTATTGATAATTCACTCAATATTAAAATACTAGCAGAGAAAAAATGAAGACGAATGTCAAGAGACAGAGTAGAAGATGATTTAAATTCTAAGTCACATGCCGCTTTTAATGCGTATTATGAATACCATGAAATAAATCAAAATGGTGCATGACATTTCACTTTTATTTTTGCATGACGGATATCCATATTCCTGACATTGATATAATGTACTTTTTGTTCACTTTTAATGTTGTTAGGAAAAAAAGATAAAATATCAGCTATGTTTTCATAGTGTCAATATGGATTTAATTAAGAATACTTTAACATGAAACGAGCTATTATTTAAGAGGAAAAATAGGTTGTGTAAAATTAATTCTTGTAGAAATGACGAAAACAAAAAATAAAAAGGAATTAGTGTAATTATTTGAATAAAAATTAAATTTATAAGTTTTTATTTTTCTTCAGTAATGACGTAGGATTTTACTTTTAAATAATCAGCAGTTGAATAAAAATTTGACTGTTAAGATGACCTAGTTTTATTTTCAAGTGATACTTGTGACATTGAAAACAGAAAAGATATCATAATAATTATTTATCAAATATTTTTTAAAGATCTACCATAATGTTGTCTACAAAGAGTTTTGCATTCATAACCGAACGTGTCAACATCATTACAGGAAATTGACCTTAATGGGTGATATCAAGGTAAGAAAAAAAGAAATGTATCTCGAACCAAGCAAGCTTTAATCTATCATCCAAAACTCTACGGAATTGTTCACAAAACATGGCTTTTTTTTCTATATATACG